TGGAGTGTGGTTTTTATGCTTCTGTCTGGACTTCAGTGGTGTGCACCATCCCTCTAGGCTCTAGTTCAGACTGCCACAAAGATAACTGTTATCTACTTACGATCGTGTAACATTTAGTTTTTCAAAGTAAACACCAATGTACATTGATAAAAAATTAAACCCCTCGTGTTTACTTGACTTATAAAAGTCATGGTGGTCTACCGTTAAAACAAACCCAACTTTTTTTTAAGTCCCATTTAAGGAGAGAAAAGGCATGGCCTATTTACCGGAAGATGAAACGGGCTGTGTTTTTAATTACTTCTACATTTTCAAACGCCAGCTCAGCTTCTGCAAGAGGTCACGTATTTCGGTCGAGTTAGACACTAAATGGCCAGGAGTGGGGCTTTTGAGAGTTGTTTGAAAGGCAGCTGTGGGGCACCAGAGCCCAGCTGTCTAGTAGCGGCGACGCTTGTTAGGACCTTCATAGTCGCCTCCTCCGTACGAGGAGTAGGCGTTGGCCTCACCCGTGGCCATGAAGGCCCTGTTGCCGGCCGTGCCACGGTTCCCAATGCCAGCCCCCTGCTGCTGCTGTTGCTGCTGTTGCTGCTGTTGCTGCTGTTGCTGCTGCTGCCCATAACGATCAGCATACTGCTGGCCGGCATGCCAACAGGTTTGCATGGTTGTCGCGTTTAAGGGACAGCGAAAGGGGGAAAATATGATCAAATTCGAGATGTTGTGTTTGGTAGGAAATTATAGTTGCAAGCAATTAAAAAATGTAGTGGTGACATTAAAAAGTTTCCAGGACCCCAGGATAACCCACCCCCAAATTTTGATTGTCAGATATATACGTAATAGATATTTTAAAAAATAAATTTATAGTAGTCAATACATTTGTAGGAAAGTTTACAACAATAGTTAAATGTTGAAAATATTAAACAAAAATTATAGTTAAGGTAGTCCGACAATAGTTTCATAGTTGGCGTATAAATGTTCGTATTTCATCGTGAAATACACAATATCGTTCATAAATTGCAATGGAGCAATTTAGTTAAAATTAAATGTTCAGTGAGGGTCGGATGTCCGTACGAGTGTGTGCGTGATAAAGCACACACATTCAGCCGTTACACCGCCAGTCCAGTGGTACCGGGCAGGAGAGGGGAGAGAAACAGGCGTACACAATACACACCGTTAGACTGCAACACCCAGAACCACCTGGCACTAGTGAACAAAAATAAAACAATGCTTCACATGTTAACAGGTGGGGGTTAAAGCAATGTACTGTCCAAAATGAGGACTTTTGGGCAGCACTAAAGTAAAAAATATATATTAAACCCAAATTTATGTTGAATAAGGCTCAAGTGAAGTGGAAAATCAGTAGTCGTAATTGTTTATAGTTGTATGAACCATACGGTTGGGGCGTATCAATACCACTCGACAGCCAAAGTAACCCAAGAAAACCCACGAAAACCCAAGACGTGCACTACTGTTTATAATGAAGACCTGAGCTGTCCGCTCTTCCAAATTTACATACACCATGACACGTCTGCTACTAGAGAAATAAATATGTATGATACCGTGTTTTATTACTACTCCACGTAAGCATGCAGTATGTACGTTTGAAATGTATTTTCTCGGCGTGTTGTATACACGAACCGTTCGTGCCACAGCCGTTTCCAGCGCTCGTATAGAAATAAGCAATGTAAGGCAGTAGCTAAATAATTAACAGCAACCAAATGCAGACATGTTTTACATACTTAAAACTTCACAAGGAAAAAGTCCAAAAATCTGTTCATCGTACAACTTTGAACTCTCATATGAAGTTGTATTCCAATTTCAACCAGATACCCAAAGACGTTAAATGTCAGTTTGTTCAAATGGTAAAACGCTGTCATTTTTAATATCAAGTTAAAAGGTCTTCAGTAACAAAACCCAGAATATCATGGTACTTTGGGCACAAAGCATGATGTATACACCACAGCAAACAGCATGGGATAATCTAATTGAGCACAGCCAACCCTCACTAAACAGCCATCACAGTACAATCCATGGAATAGGCAACTCTTTTAAACTAGTCATTGTATATGCACTTGCACATTGTACAGCTCACATACAATTTCCCTGTACATGGACAGTGGTGATTACCAATATACAATGAAATAATCAACCTTTTTTACGTAAAGAAACTGCATTAAAACAAGGCAGACAATTAATCAAGTCAGCCTCGGACTTTTTTCCCAGTTGTGGCATTTCACAATAAGCATACTAAGCAATGAATGCTTTGACTGAAATGTAAGGATCCTAAATGTCATTTAACTCTTGGGAGTTTTAATTTAACCGAAAAAAAACTCTTTTATAAAGCAGTTGTGATGTTTGAGCCATTATCATTTGGACTCGTAATAAAATCCAGTTTCCCTATTGAGTCTCAAAAACTTCAGTGATGCCTATCCTGTACGTGCATCACATTAAATGAAAATGCTAATACGACTACATAACACAACGTATTAATTACTAACATTCCAATCCCGAGTTTCTCAATCTGTAGGTGAGGTGACCACAGGCAGGTGCTGTCATTTAGCAGGGGGAGAGAGGTCACTGATTCGGATCAACTATAGTGACCTAACGCTCCAAAACCCTGTGCTAATCAGCATTCCTAAAGTCATCAATTTATCATTTTCCAGCTAAGAATTTAGGCAAACACGTGAGAGAGCTCTAAATCCCCCAATGTAGGCGCACAAATTGATTTGCAATAAAACCAATGACATGAGCTGGTGCCATGTGAATAACAGGCACAGACCACAGATTCATATTTAACTCGTGGGAAGGAAAATACTTTATAATTCAGCCGCTTCGCTACATTGGTACATACACGTGCAAGGACAAATTCATTCAAAATGATTAAAGGCTTAAAATTACAATATTTTGCAGACAGAAGGCCATGTGGCCTAATGACCAATGATTGAAGTTCAGATCTCAGAATTTTCGAAAAAAAACATTGGCGTGTCCCCGCATCAGGGCACTTAAGGTGGTGCGCCCCCTACTGTAGCTGAAATGGTCAAGGGATTTCAGAAGCGGTAAAATATCGACCACCCTCAGGAGGCAGCTCTACCACACTTGGTTACATTGCTCCAAGAGCACGCTCAATGGATACCATCATGACGAGACCCGTAGCACAATCTGAGAAAATATATGCATGCCGTAATGATATTCGGACATTTTTAAATGTTTAACTTTATTAATTGAATATTGGCTGTGTCATGGATGTCACCATCTCGTGTCAACAACCAGTTTTACACACAGATAGCAAGCTGCATGTGGTGACAAATCTCCCTCTTGGGTCCCCAGAATTAATTCTTAAAAGATTAATTAAATGTCAAGTTATCCATGTTTAAGTTCCGAAGTTGAGAATCCATTGCATCCATTTAAGGAAAAATATCACCTTCAGGTTGACTCCATATACTTAAATGTATATTGCACTGATGATTTGGATATGCATATATCACACGCTAATAAAGATAAATGTAATTGGCTCTCAGATACAAATGGGATCCCTCAATCCAAGAAAAGCTGTTTTGCCAAAATAATGCACATTTCCCTAATCAAGTATGGTGGTATGTATGGCTGTTCCAAAGCAAATCAATGTCAAATTAAGCCTCACTTTCTCCAGAAACAAAATGTAATATTCCACAAAAAAATGAAGTTAACTGTGTTTTGTACAAAGTTAAACGGTAGTGTACAGTTTAAATAATATTCAGTTATCTACTGTCGACCATCATCTACACTTTAGACTGGAGAAACCCTACATTTCCTGTCAATGTAATCGATTCATTAATTGCAAGGAACCAATCTTCCTGTTAATAACATGCCAGCTTCAGTTACCTAGTGCCAAGTAAAAATGAAAAAAGGTGCACAAGAAATGCATTGTTTACTCTGCATTATTTTAACTACCGTGATGATTAAAACTTATTAAGGATTTAGTCAGTCACAATAGAGTTGCGACGCATTTATGGTTTCAGATTGAGGCAGCAAATTGAGCACACCGTTTTGAGGTGTGTGACCACACACAAGACATTTTCACAAAGGCACGGTGAATGTTGTCCACATTGGTCGATGGTGGCGTTCCCAAAGAAATATGCTGTCACAGCAATGCCGAGGAATTGCCTATAAAGCATAAAGTGTTTTTTGCAGGACAAGTTAATGAGACACACTGGGGGGCAAGGACCTATGATCCAATTTCATGGCTATTGGCAGCTGTGTGTACTCTTCTTCAGCAATATATATGTAGAAAATACGTTAAGTCAAAAATGGGCAAAGCTTAACATACCTAAACACTTTATGAAAAAGAAACAGCCTTAATAATTCTGCAATAATCAAGAGCTAACATTAAGATGGTGGCTTTATAGAATGTTTTTTAAAAGTCAAATTTGATCGTGTTGCAAAAAAGCCCAAAGACTGCACATTTCAAAACTACCGTCAACCATCAGCATCATATTCAGCCAGAGGCTTGACTCCTGCTCATCCAATCTAGCTGAACCCACACTGGTTACATTAACGAGTATACAGTCACATGGACCAAATACATGCCCGCAGGATCCTCCATTCTCCACCCAACAATAGGTTTGTACTGTGATGGCTGAATTCCAAACGCTCCCCATTTCTTTCACCACTGCTTCATTTTCAAATGTGATAAAACACATGCCGAGTAGGATGCCACCGAGTATGATGCCGACGTGTACATTGAAGGACGTCGTCACACACGTCATTTTGCGGCACATTTCAGCTGTGGTGAATTAAAGTGAACTTAAAAAAAAGGATTTTAAAATTACGTGCTGGTGTTTAAATATCCATGGTGAATGTATATCTGGAACACTGCAGTATTCTTTTAAGTGTCAATCTTCAGCATGTATTATTGCAGGATATGCAATGGCACCTGAACAGGTAATAGTGCATACACATTGCAGTGGATCTTCCGTAGTTTGTGCAGTGTGTGCAAAGTGCTGGTGTGGATGCAATGAATACATTACCGTTGCCATGCCGTTGTTGGCCGAGCCCATCATGGGGCTGCCCATCCCTCCGGTCGCTCCTGCCCCCGCCTGGCCCATACTTGCCCCAGCCTGCTGCTGGTAATTCATGCCGAGCATGGCGTTTTGGCCCTGGTTGCCCGTCACAGCCTGCCCATACCCATCTAGACGACACACCGAACACCACACGATGCACACTCCAAAACACCCCGTGCACACCCTTCCCCCGACGCTGCGCGGCGTTAAGAAGGACGGATCGGTTCATGTGGATTCTCACGCTCACGATATGGGCATCGAAATTGTGCGTGCGAGAATAGATTTAAACGTGATGCAAATTATAAGCGAATAGTATGCAAATGTTACATTTAAGCCAATGGAATTGCAAAAACAAAACAACAATCGGTCAACAATACAAATGAGATGGTAAAAATAAGGCTATAAATGTAATTCTTGAATTGACCCTGAATATTAACAAATAAATTAATCTCGGTGGGAGTGATGTCTAGGCACGAGTGATTCCTGTGTTATTGGCCAAGCAGGGAGACCCATGCATTTCCTAGAAAACAAAATGAACTGAGAAAAACACCACAGGTTTTAAATGGACATTAAATGGTGGTTACTTTTACATTCCATTAATCTAGTCCATTGTCACTATTTTCCAATATCAATCAATATTCCAGTCCACGTATTGTGCCACAATGAACCCAAATTTTTCATAATAAATAAATAGAATACTCATTAAAACGGAGAGTTCACGGGCTTTATATAACTGAAATGGACCAGTGTAAATGTATTTAAGTACAGGCAGTCCCCAAGAAACGAACGTCCGACTTACGGACATCCTCACTTACGATCGAACCGCCATAAGACGTTATTATTTTTAACCACTGGACTTGTAAATGTTCGGACGTACTCACAAACCGCGGAACTATACATGTGTATTCTCTATATTGGACGAAATGCTGTGCGGTGATTATCGCCACTTGTGGATCCGATCAAGCAGTGAAAATGTCACATTAACTTGACAGTGGCTAATCGAACCATGAGATGACCCACTATTGATTTACCCGAGGGATAGCGATTTCATCCACCATGTACCGATTGGCCAATTAGACCCCGGAGTTCAACAAAAACACCTTCACAACGCAAGTAGAGCATAAAGAGCATGTCTGCATAAGGGCACTTGAGCGTTTCTCAAAGCTCATCGATTAAAAAATTGTCCCCATCTTGCTAGTCTTGGTTTGACTCAGAATGATGGTCGTCATGGTGCAAGGTGAATCCCTCTGTGCTTAATATACAACCGCAAAATGACATGAAGCTATTCTAAAACAATACCCATTTCGCACGATTCATCTGCGGCCAAACTGCAACTATGGTTTATTTGGAAAGATTTAACTTCACTTTGAGCTTCATGTGGCAGACCTAGTGTTGCTGCTGCTGCTCTGCTCTACCAAGTCTCATAGGGTATCATGACCCTTGATTGCTTGGTTCAATAAACCTCTCTCCGCCTTCTTTTGGCCCCTTGGTTATAGTTAGCCCATCACACAGCCCCATCAGCACTAGTCACTCTTTAGATTTTCTGAACCACGCTGCTCGGGATAGTTATTGAGCACATTTGCCAGTGAATCAGAATCTTTATTTAATCATAATCAACGTTTTTGGGTTAGATCGCGTTATTTATAAATGTGTCTTAACCCTCCACCACCCGACACGGCCAATCAGCAAAAAAGTGTCACGTTGGCAAAAAGACAAATAGTTCACTGCTTTAGCCCACCGGTGTGTTGAAGCGTAAATGTTGTGGTTTCACGCTTCAACACACCGGTGGGCTAAAGCGGTGAACTATTTGTCTTTTGTCAACGTGACACTTTTTTGCTGATTGGCCGTGTCGGGTGGTGAAGGGTTATGACACATTTATAAATAACGCGGCGATCTAACCCAAAAACGCTAATTATAAATAATATTGGTCGCGAAAGCCTACGTGTTAAACTGATCTTTATTTAATACTGGAGGAATCTAATAAGCTATGAAGCTATGTCCAGTAGAGGTGGGTGAGCAAGTTAGTGAGTGGGCCCAGAGCATCTCAATGCAACCCTTTCAGAAAGCACAACGAAGAATCCATATTTTGAGACTGGAAGAATCTGATGAGCTATGAAGCTGTTTTTTTTAAGGATGTCCAGGATAACATGAATACAAGCAACTGCTCATATCCATCAGCAAATTTGTGCCAGTAGTGGAAATTCCACACCAAATACATTTTTGACTTTGCATTTGTGCTGTTTCTTAGATGTGGGTACCAACTGAAAACCTTCCTTTTGTGAGCATTTAGTTGACATGAGAGCTGATGGCTGCATGAAGTGGTAAAGTCAAAGCCACCACAGTTTAATGAATGACTGATTTGAATTCTTTTACTTTTTAAACAAACATAACTATTACACTCTTTGCAGGGGCTCTTCTATATTGGCAATCATGAGCAAGTGGTGGGGCAATTCCCAGATATCGATCATGGAGGCAAATCTTTCAAAAGAACTCAATGTAGACATACACCAGTGGTTCTTGTTTTATCAACCCAAGAGGGATGATGGGTTGAGTGGACGAGGCTCGTCAAATGTGAATTGGAATGTGAGAATGTTGAAAAGGCACCACGTGTTACATTCTATCATTTCTCATTTAAAACGTACAGGTACAATCCCTTGTTAATGCCACTGCTGGCAGGCCAACCACCAGAGCAGGGTTTCCCAAACTCCAGTCCATGTAACCCACCAAGATACAGCTTTCCACGTTTACCAATTTACTCCTCATTCAATTGCAAATTAACCAATTCCACGCTGCACATGCCTGATGATTGTTAAAATGCAAGTAATGTGTACACACAGTGAGATCTTAATGGCTCAATTAACCGCAGACAGCGCAAGCTGCTTAACAATTATCGGGTGCGTGCAGCATGGAACGAGTGAATTTGCATTTGAATGAAGGTAAATTGGTAAACACGGAAATACTTAGCTCCTACATGGTGGGTCATAAGGACTGGAGTTTGGAAAACCCTGTGCTCGAGCTCTAGGGAGCATTTGGTCTATTCTTCCATGCTGACAGGACTTCGTGGAAGAGCTGGATTTGCTCACACGTAATCCCACTATGCGTGAACAACCAACCGACCATGGTATATCCATTTTAGCCTTCTGGATAAAAAGTTGGGAGGAGATTGAAAAACCTTGTCCCATTGTTTTAAAAACTCCGATGCCGGCAGACCAAATCAAACCGGAAACCTCTGGATTGCAAGTCCAGTGTGCTAACAGTATTTCCCTTCATTTCTCAGTTCAAAATGTGAAGGGTTTTATTATCAAACATTTAAATGTGCGGAAAACCGAGAACCATATTTTTGTCATAATTTCTGATGTGGTTGCAGTTAATCCACAAACAATTTAAACAAAACTAATTGACATCCAAAAAGGAATCTAACGAGTAACTGTTCCAATTAATAAAATACTCTCCCACAATTTGGATAGAAACGCATATACTTGGATCCAATAAGCAACCTAAGTCTCGTAATCAGTATTTGGTCATTGATAGTAAAAGACTGGCAACCAGTGAAATTGAGAATACTTTGATGGCGTACGAGTTAAGTTGCAAATGAGGGTTCATGCAAAGATACATTTTTGACCAGCACACCAACCTTCATGACAGAACAAGCAATGGGTTACAAAAGCAAGCAAACTTTCTCAAGTACACATCATGAACCAGTGAATAAATCTAGCACCCACAATAGCTCAGTGGCTGTATCCACAATTGAACTGTAAAGATAAAGCAATTGGACCTTCCAACAATGAAGACAATTCTCAATACTTGAAAGATTAATGTTGGTACTCACATAATCCATGCTCCCAAAATTTTTTACGTTTTGTTCATTGTTAGCTGAGGGTTATTTTTAGAGACATGTAATCCATAATGCCAAATCGTTTTTTTTTACAGAGGTCATGTATTATATACTAAACTACTTGGGGTTGATGCCAGATATTGTGTCTGATCATTAGATTTCAGGTGCCAGGTTTGAACCTGTTTAGTACTCAAATGGACACGTGTCTGGACCACTGCTGTTTTATGTCCGGGCTACTAGATGGCCAGGAAATGGCAATACAGCACTTGATTGAATCCATATATGCACATGTTTGATTGTTGTCCCTATGTATATAGGGGTTCCTCTGGTTACTCTACTTTCCTCCCAAAAGTCAAGCACGCATGAATGGAATTTAGCCAAACATCCCAATTCAGAACCTTTCTAAGACATCACTCAATGTAGCTTTCTTGGGTTGAGTCATAGATGTGCTTGCGATAACTTTAATGTGTTTTAATGTGTTTGAATGCAGTATCAAGTATGAGCCAATAAATTTCGGCAGTGGGGCCAAAATTAAAACCATATAGCCACACCCCAAAGTAACAACCACCGACCGCAGCATGCATGGCACGCCACTGAACAGGCCAAAAAGCACACGAATGCTTTGTGTGTCTGAACAGAAAATGAATCTGGACATTGCATACATTGTCAATGACTACTTCCACGATGCAGCTCATCATTGTGCACAATTAGGTTGTGCGAGACCAATGCCCCATACAATGACAAACCATCACAACATATCAACCACGTCAAGTTCTAAAAACCAACCTGGAGTTTTTTGTTTGCAAACAAATTTCTCTTTGTGAGCAGTTAATATTACTTTTCCCATTTAAGTTAGAATGTAACTTATTTTGAAGTCTCAGCATGGATAAAGTGTAGTTCTACTGTAGTTCACACTTTGTATAGTAGCCCTTAATACATACAGCAAATACACTGAGCTTGTCAACCCTTTAGTGTACACCATTATGCACCGGTTTTGAAAATGCAGCTTACAAGCAATATCTGCACGATCCAGTCAATCTGAAATCTGAGCTGTTGCTTGCATCACCCCATGTCAGCAACAAGCATCATGTGCATTTCAAGCTACCCTGTGTTAAGATACAAAACACGTAGAGGACTTGTGCTTGTGAGAAGAGAGAACATTTCCAGAAATAAGGATATCCCCCTGAAATCTCACAAAATATGACCAGTTCATATTTGGTAATCAACAGCAATTCTATATTTTGGTATAAATCTTGTAAAAACTGGCACCTTAAAGCCAGGTAGTCACTTTTATGTCACATCTTTTCAACATTATCAATGTACTAAAATGTGTACAGCTGCATACCTGTTGCTCACAACTGTTCCTTCACAAAAGCATATTTTTTTCAGAGCAGTGTAACAAATGCACACCCCCTCAAAACACCTCATTGTATATTAAGTCACACAATTAGAGGAATATGTAAAAAAAACCCGAACCGTGCATATGGGATAACTTTATATTTTGCCTACTGCTAAGAGTTGCTTAATCATTGAAAAACAATAAAGTCTCATTTGGTAGGGCACAACGAATGTTGGAGACCGATGGAGGCAAACCACAGGCAGGGCTTACCAACAATAGACTCTAAGCTTTCCCACATTCCTTTTGGAGCTACCAAATAGCTATACTGTCGTGATGCACTGCATAATGGTCCAAATTAGGGGTGCCAAAGTGGCGAGATATTAACTACCTCTCCTTGTATGCAGCAGGTTGTGGGTTCGATCCCGATCCTGACGCCTGTATATTTGTAGCTTGCATGTTCTCGCCATGGTCGCGTGGATTTTTCTCCGGGGAATTCCGGTTTCTCCCTCCACATTTAGAATAAACATGCGTTTAAGAGTATCTGGCTGCTAGAAATTTCCACATAAGCCACTTCGTTGAGCTATCGTTTGTGGCCAGGTGCCTTCAGTTGGCTTTACCTGGTATAATTAAAATAATATATAGTTTACATGACAAATTCTGCAAATTACTCTAATCGTATTACACATAGCAATCATCGCCCCTACTGACAGGCATGCCCACTTGCAAGCCGGTAACATTGTGCTGTACAGCAACAGCTACCGCTGAGGTCCCCTTCAAACGTTGGATATGAGATGTGATGCAAGGCGCTTTGAGTTGCTGAAGTATTTGAGAGCAGCATACAAATGCAATCTATTTTCATTAAATATGACCCTGTCATAGACAATATGCCTCTTCAAAAACACACTTCAGCGTGCCAATTAAAACATAAAACTATTGTGAATTTACGATTATGGAGTTAAGTCCTTTCAAATATTTATAACTGAAATTACATTTATGCTCGCTTGAATAGCTATTTGGGAACACGTGTAAGAGCTTCTTGGCACGTGTGTCACACTTAAACCATGGTACAGCCAGAGCAACAAGAAGAATGTTTACTTTTGGAACACAATACCATGTCCATTCCCCATTGTGCTATTCTCAATTTGATAGGTAATGACATCATTCAAATTACAGAATCTATTTTTGGAACATAAGTTCATGAGCAAAACTATATTTCAAACTCAATTTAGTCCCATTATCCAATTTTCTCCCTGGTATTAAGCCAGCAGATTAATAACACGTTAAGTTTTTTTAAACAAATACCTACAATTCAGCAATTGTAATAGAAAGCAAAATCATCAAATGCAGATGATGATAGCCTACAGCCAAGTTTATGCATAAACACTCATGAATCCAGGAATCTTGCAACCTGCTAAAGTCCTATGCAAGGTTAATTGAATTTCACTCCTGCAATGTGTTCTGTTCACATTTATCCACAAAGCTTGGTTGGCGATGTCTGACAAAACTTTATTTCATTTGGCCGACTATAATAATTGTGCTCGGCTTTTTCCAATCACAAAATAGGTTATCTGTTATATGCTGGCCTTAAAATACTTTAAACAAATTCTTACAAGGTTATCCACTAGAATGCCTCATTAAAAGCATCTAATTTATTTAATGACCTGCATTTCCAACAAATTAGGACATGGATATGCATGTCCAGTGGAGTAGTACAAGTGTGTATTTAACAGCACAGTGTCCCGTGTCTGGACTCTCACTCACCTGTCATGGACATGTTGCTGCGGGCCCCCAAATCAGTCATACGCATCTCGCCTTCTCTCTGTAAATGAAAATCAATTCATAGGCTCATTCACCACCTCCAAAGGGTTGAAAATGGAGTCTTCCTTTTGTAAAAATCGCATCTAAAAACAACTGTTAAAGGCATCTTATACTTTACATGAAGCATTATTCAGTTTTAGGTAGAATATTGTTTTTCTAGGCTAGAAATGTGAAAATCCACCTCAGACAATGATGCAAAATGTCCAATTGTGGAAGTCAATGGGAGAAAAGATAGGTAAAAATAATAAATGCAATGCCATAACAAAATAACACTACAAAAGGACATGTATCACGCTATTATAAAAATGAACCAACATGGACATTATCCTTGGATATGAAACGCATGTCTACACAATGACAAAAACTCAAATTGAAAGTCTGAAATGACTTTCATCTAAACCAATAAAATCAGCCTAACACCCCTTTTGTCTGTTTGGCTATAGATGCTTGTATTCAACCCACATTTTTTGCGGCAACCTTCCACTCAAACAAGCAAACCCTACTCGGTGCACAGCACACTAGCCCCTGTGCCCAGTCTAGTGTTTTGCCAGTGATGTGTGCATGTGTATTTTCACTGCATGCAGAGCATATTTTTTATGTCACTCTTTGATCTAATAGAAGTCACCTTGACTAAATTTGTATTCTTAAAACTGAGAACTTGATACCCAAACCCCATATTTCCCATACAAGTGGGCACCCCCACGCACTGTTCACAGTTCAGGTTTTCCATCACTGCCATTTTGTAGACAGCTCAAATATACCATAAAAAACACAGAACATTCACTGATGACAAAACATCTTTGAGATGCCAAATAAAATAAGCAACACCGACATTTTTCAAGTGCAAAAACATGCCCCTAGTTTCAAAGACAGCTTGAGAGAAGACGATTATAAACAAAGCTTTTCCACGACAGGCACAATCTCAGACTTGTAGATTTGCTGCTCAAGATCTGATGGGAAACCGTTTCTATGTTTAATACAACTAAAAATATATATATAAAATTTGTACATCTGTATTCACAAATAGAGCTGTCTGATCTTATTCAATAGTGTGTGTACGCATTAAAGGAAATTAAGGGCCTGTGTTTACAGTGCGTGAGAATGAAGGGGTGGCGCAGAATTTAGCAAAGCACGCTATGGGTAACTTGACTAATGAAGTTGGATTCTTGACCACAGTGAACAGTATCAGAACTGGTTATTTTCCACCACCCACCCCCTTTCCAATAAAACCAACTTGATGAAATATGAGCAAACAACACCTAAGACTGACATGGCATAGGGAGGTCTTAATCTAGCAGTGGATTGACAAAAGACTGAACAATATGAGACAGCAGTAATCATACATCTGCCAGTGTAAAAAATGCACTTCATTATAAAACACTTGGTAACTCTTTGCATTACAAATATTGAGGGGAAAGAGGATTGATTACACTGTGTAACAAAGTTTTTTGTTCCTGGGTAGTGTTATTTCCTAATTGCTTATGCCTCAAAAGTACAGAAAATGGCTATTGTTCCCCACAAACTTTGCTTTTGTGACCAGGACAGTGATATTTTGAAGTTTACATTTTTCCATAACATTCCAGATAGATTCAGTGCTGAGTAAACTTGGAGTAACTTCACTTCTAGAATGTTATAGAACTTTCCAGTAATATAAATAGTAGTACACGTACAGGGGCCTTAAGCCCACCAGTTCAGTTTAGTTCCAGCTGCCTAAGTGGATACATATCTGCATTGTTCTGAGATGGCATCAAGAGGCTGCAAGAATCCCGGCAGACGCATTTTGCTATGTCTGCAGCCAATTTATCAAGACATGAGCGAAAAAGTACTCTGTGGAAGCATCTGCGGAGATGTGCGAGGCCTACAAGGCATATTTCGGCATGCCTGTCGGGGATCAAGACAAACCCTAGGCACCTCATTTCACCTGCGAGCAATGCAAAAAAACTGGAAGGTAAGATGGACAATTGTTGCTCGGAATTTTATGGTACAAATTTTGTTTTAAAAAAAATTTTCATTGTAAAAGTTTTTTTATTTTTAAATGGTTTACAATTTTCAATGTTATTGAAAACATACATGAAAAATGTTGCGAAAATCTCTTACACATTAGTCATGGGTGAAATAAATGTATTTTTGTAGGATGGTACAGAGGGGAAAAGAGAGCCATGAAGTTCGCTATCCAAAGAATTTGACAGGAACCCACTGACCACTCAAGCAAATGCGACTTCTGCATGGTGGACCATTCCAAACGTCAGACTGGCAAGAATGCACCTATCACGTATCTGGACCTTCCTTCATCCATCGCCCCGGTGCCACACTGCCATGAGCTCCCCGTACCCACTCCTCCGGATAGAGGGGAGGTCGTCTTTAGAAGAGAGCAGAGAGCGAGGAAGAAGTTGTAGATCCAGATGACAATTTCAGAGGTGGAGCTGAGGAGAGAAATCTATACTACCCCAACAAAAAGACCTCAACGATTTGTTGAGAGATCTTGGTCTCACCAAGTCCAATGCAGAGCTTTTGAGGTCTAGGATCAAACAGTGGAACTTGTTGGATAAAAGTGTGCAAGTTGCAGATCAGAGGAAGCGTCACCAACCTTTTTGCAGCTTCTTTACCCATCAAGATGGGCTCTGCTTCTGCCACAATGTGACCAGTCTGTTCAAGGCAATCAGAATCGCCTGTAACCAGAATGAGTGGCGCCTCTTCATTGACAGCTCATCCAGGAGCCTCAAAGCCCTGCTGCTCCATAATCGTAACAAGTAGCCGTCTCTTCCCCTGGCTCACTCGGTGCACCTCAAAGAGGATTACATCAGCATCAAGACCTTGCTAGACGTCTTGAAATATGACGAGTACGGCTGAGAGGTCATCAGAGACTTCAAAATGGTGACATTCTTGATGGGTCTCCAAGGCAGTTTTATCAAGTTTCCTCTGCTATCTTTGCCTTTGGGACAGCAGGGACGCCAAGGCGCACTACCACAGGCGGGACTGGCCACAGCGGACCGAGTTCTCTGTGGGGAGGAACAACGTCAAGTGGGAGCCACTGGTGGACCCCCGGAAGGTGCTGATGCCACCACTGCACATCAAATTGGGCCTTATAAAACAGTCGGTGCTGTAGATAAGGAGTCGGCAGCCTTCAAGTACCTTCAAGACTTCTTCCCTAAGCTAAGGCAAAGTTCAAAGCCGGTGTCTTCATTAGACCATAGATAAAGAAGATCATGGAGTGCAATGAATTCCCCAAGAAGCTCACTAGTAAGGAGAAAGCGGCTTGGAACAGATTTGTCGCAGTGGTTCGTGGCTTCCTGGGCAATCACAAGGTCGAAAACTGTGGAGCTGGTTAAGACTCTGGTGAAGAACTACAGCACAATGGGCTGCAGGATGTCTCTCAAAGTCCATATCCTTGATGCTCATCTTGATAAATTCAAGGAGTAAATGGGAATGTACTAGGAGAAGCAAGGCGAGCGCTTCCACCAGGATATACTGGACTTTGAATGCCGCTACCAAGGACAGTATGAGAACATGATGGGAGACTACATTTGGGGGCTGATTCGTGAAAGTGATTTACAGTATAATCGTAAATCTTGAAAAACTACTCACTTCTAAATCATTTGTCATCATTTTTGTATTACTTTAGTATAAATAAATGTTAATTTTGATTTATATGGTTTGTTTTTCTGACTATGTGAACGAAAAGACCCAAATTCGCCTGTTTTCTCATTGAAAAGAGGGCAATATCAAAATATCATTGTCCTGGTCACAAAAGAAAGGGTTGTGGGGAATAATAGCCATTTTATATACTTTTTAGGCATAAGCAACTACGAAATAACACTTACTACCCAGGAACAAAAATTAGGTTAGTGTTATAGAAAGAAAATAATGCTAAAATATGAATAAATGCAAAACAATATCATCACTCTTTTGGGTAATTCTTCAATGCACTATGTGCTTAGTTTGTTGTCCTTCCCCTACACCTCGGATTAGCACGGATGCCTATGTACGGTGCGAAAAAAGTTCAAAGTACATCTCTTCAAAACCATAACTCTATTCAGAAATCCAATTAGCAGTGCTCGCCAAACATTAGTGCACCAAGTCCAAGTTGTATCCTTGCCAATCTCTGTTAAATCCAGAATTTGGGTGACACCAAACAGTGGCAATTCCCAGCTCATCGGTCTGATCCAGTTTTGGCAATGAATAACCAACATTGACTTTACACAAACATCTAAAGTCAAAGTGATTCAATACTCAAATGAGCATTGAGGTGGTGCTCAATTCCCATTTACAGTCCTCGGCCAGTGATATAAATTCTACATTTCTATGACGGGGGCAAGTATATCCATAAAACCACTGGCGACTTCATAAGGTGATATTAACCCGGAAGGATGATGGGCAAAGTAAAACCCCAACCCAGATTTGAGCTCGCAACCAACCTACTGCCTACTGCAAACCAATCACTCTAGTGCTCAGCCCCTTGGCTGGAATAACAGTCCTAATTGGTATTTGTTGCACATGCAGTCTCTTTGCTAAGTGAGAAGCATGATTAGCAATGGCTTCAAGTAAACACCTATGACATAAACCAAATTGTTCTTAAATAATTGATATAGGAACAAGCTGTGCAGGACTTTCAAAGCCAAAACATCTGAAACCTGGTCACTAACCTAGACATCTCCCATGTGTACACACGGCTCTGGGATAAACTTTTGAGTATCTACCTGCTGTGCAATGGTCCAGCTTTGGGTGTCTAACTGCAGCACAAGAAACATGAAGCATGCCACGCGACGTGCCGACATCACAAGTCATAACGTTATTAAGAGGGCAGGGAGGAGGCACGTGGAATTTGACATCATAAAATTATGTCAAGTTGAACTATGTCACACAATGACATAATTCGCATTACGAGGTTTCATTGACATCAATAATATCGCCAAGTTGAGCAACCCTTTGTTCAATTTGCCTGGTTTTCGGTCGGGGGTACAACTTTTTCCTAAAATGCTGCCTTCATTGGATAATCATAATAAGTAACCATTACAGAATGCTAGAGAGCAATTACATTCACACTTTCAATCTTAGTGTCAATATTGAACAAATACTTAAATCAAATGGTATGCTCAACTTCTACTTCATGCACAATGTGATGCGAAGTAGGTTATCAATCCAATCGCTGCAAAATAACTGAATATCCATTTTGTATTTATGTTGAACTTCTTTCGCATGTAGTCAACCGTGCTAATCAGTCACGACAAGTTAAGCACTTGAGCATTATCAATCCTAACACAATGGACCTTACAAATCACCGATCTTCCAAATACTCATCAGCTTCCGTCAATATTAAGATGACAGAATTAGTTACAATTCGTCAGCTTTACAGCCTACTCCTGAAACAATCACCACACAATAGCTCCTGCCAGTTACTGTGCAGCACTTGACTAATTTCAATCACTCTGCTGGGAGGGGAATTCTTTCACCTCCTTAACCCCTCCCAAAAGAGCAAGCAAAACAAGTGCTTAAAACTTCCAATGGTCTGTGATGTCACGGACCACAGTAAAGAAGTTTCCGTACCCAATGTGAACAAAAAGTAGAACTTGCAAAACATCATCAACGCAGTGGTGAGGTGTACCACCAATTTTTTTGCAGCAGTTAGGCACTTGCAAACGCATGCATGTTATATGCGTGTACACCCATAAACGCATGTGCGCGTGCATTCAACTCCACGATGCACAAAATGTGCACAAGAACCTTATTTTCTTCATGACTCACATATACCACGATGATTCAGGCTGACCTTTGCAGAAAATAGCATGGCCGGACGAGATTGATAACCATTACAGATAATGAAATTGATACTATATTATGTATCATTTCAAGTTTTTTTTTCTCTTCTTAATAAGCTTCTTAATGAACTTCATGCGTTTAACATGTCAGTGCACCTGAAGCTGTTACTGGTAGGAATTTAATCAACTGTCACCTGGTTAGGTGACATTCACAATTTACCTGCAATAATCATGGGTCACTGGTCATTTTCTGTCACAGTAAACCGCAAAAATTGTGGCTAGCCTTAGGTAAAGTTATTCACAATGTAATAACTTTCTCACAGATACCCGAAGCATTATGGTATTGTTACATACTTGCATCACTCTTCATCAATGCCCCTTAGATATGGTACTATTTATTTACCATGAGGGCTATGACCTGAGGAATATTTTAGGTAACATGCCATCGCTGAGATGTGTAAGAGATATGCAGCTCAACATTAAGAATGCGCACAACCTCGTGCACCCACATAATACATTAATAATAGACATGTTTAAATTAAATGTCCCACAAAGCAAAGTTGGGAACAAAAGTAATACAGCATTGAAGTTCCAAAGAGAGTTTGCATATTTGAGGTGATGTTTAGTATCCCATGAGAATGCAGTGTGATGGCGTCCAACACAGCAATCTTAGGTTCTTAATAGCCACAGCCTGATGATGTGGAGCCCAACATTACGTGCCTGGGAACTATGTAGCTGGTGCTGGAGCATTCCATAACCTTCAGTGAAAATGGACTTATCATCCTGTGAGAAAACAATCATCGAAGTTAGATTTTAGGCATGTCTCTCAACAATGTTCCATGTGCTGTAAACAGCGACACATTTTCTACAAGTGTTCTCACCAGAATGGGTCTGAAAAAGGAATTCTTCTCAGCTCTACATTTTGATGTGCAAAACAATTTGCTAGGAATGCATTTGTGGTATTTACTGAGTACAGATTTGCGTTAATTAATTTCACGATATGCACATGTGTATGCTCGTGACAACCGATACTTGGATAAGAAATATATGCCAGAGAAGCTGTACACATTCTTAACCGAGGATATTTTGGTTACTCATGTACAGGCTTTGGTAAATATGCAACTCAAGCTGATGTCAACAATATGCTGCCAATCAACACTTAATTTCCATATTGTAAATTAGGTATAGATACCATTATATACACAAATTACATCTATGGATAATTCTATATAACGTGTATTAATATTGATATTTACACCCGTTTAAAATTGTAAAGGCAATCAGTCATAAAAAAATTACACCTTTTCAAGGTTTCAAATCCCTATTTAAATAAGTATATATTACGCAATATTACTGCATGATTTAGTTAATTCATTCACAGGGTATCAAAGTTTGGAGTTGTTTCTTACGTGACTATAAAAAAGCCACCTTGCAGCGTTTATGTTCCAAATATTGGAAACAATAAATTAATTCTACTAAATTTCAATGAAGTAAACACATTAGCTCGAACAATATAGATAATCAAACCAACTTTTCACTGAGTGCACTCTTTCTGAAGTGAACAGGCTGAATGCAACAGTAGACATTGCCAATTACGCAAGGAGCACCTTCTGGTCTCTACATGATCAGCACTGGAATGGGGTAAATTCCAGCGCTGGCATTCACAGGCTGACACAAACAAACAAAAATCAGAAAATTATGAAAAGTTTACAAACTCCACAGGCAGAATATGAAATTGTCAAAAAACCCTGGTAGCAAATCAGTAATTCTTCAATTTAAATTTAGTTCATGAACATTGTTATATTATGAAAGCAAATCATTTTCATTAAGTGATTAAAGGGAAAAACAACCATTTGATGCACGTGTGCAAAGCAAATCTGTACCAAACTAAAGAATGCAGGTCCCTTAAGACCCTATTCCTGGTGAGAAGAGATATTTATGCGATTATAAACAGAACATGCATTGCAACATCAATTGTCATTGGCACTGGCAGAATTAAACAAATGCCAATACGGAGTCACCGAGAGCCCAGCCTTGGCTCTGCATGGGTCGGCAAGCGACCTGGGTACTCACGGCGCCCTCCATGTAGTTCATGCGGTAGCTATCCTGCTGGCGACGGAGCATTTCCTCCTGTTCGCGCTGGCGCCGGATCATCTCCTCCTCGCGCCGCCTGCGTTCCTCCTCGTGTCTGCGAGTGCACACGGCATATTCACAGCTGAAATTCCACCCTCTCAAACATCTACATTAACAACATACCATGTGCCCAGTGGAACATTTTCTTTCATTTTGACAATTACAAATGGGCAGTAAAAGTTAAACGAAAAAGTTTAAGCGTACACACAAAAAATTGAGAGATCCAAGGGGGAATTACATTGAGACAAAGCAGATTGCATGGAACAAACACCTACACACCCTACATACAATAGTGTGAGTAGTATATCGTGACTATAGTCATATCTAACTCTACAGCAGTATATGGCTCTACAGTAGCATCTACCGACTCTATAGTAGTAACTACTAATGCTACAGTAGTATCTACTGACTGCAGCAGTATTTACTGACCATAGTGGTATCTACTGACTGCAGTAGTATCAACCAACTCTACAGTAGCAAATAGACTCTACTGAATCTATAGTATCTATTTACTCTACAGTAGTATCTACTGACTCGTGGCATCTACCTACTCTACAGTAGTATTTACCTACTCTACAGTAGTATCTACCTACTCTATAGCAGTTAATTACTAACTTAACAGAGTACCATGGTGAGGCCTAGTTCCGTGCAGAGCCCCCGACCTTGCCTAGATTGCCCAGCCGGCTGAGGTGGAACCTTGGCAAGCTGATGCTGGGCTGCAACCCCCCCCCCCACAATCCCCCCGCCCGCTCTGCAGTAGTATCTACGGACTATAGTAGTAGCATCTACCAACTCTATAGTAGTAACTGCACAGATTGGGGTGGGGGGGGACATCACACTGTGAAGAATTGACCTTAGCATTGTGTATTGTTTTGCATTTTTAACACGAATGATGATTTTTCCACACCCCCACCGATCGCGTGTGGGTTGCTAAGGCAACCACGGGTCAGCGTTCTCGCGCATGCGCAGATGTGTACTTTGGCGAGCGCCCAGCATTGTAATATAATAATTAATAGTAATACATTGTTAATTTAACTACTTCAAAGTTGACGGATGTGAAATACGAATAGCACTGGCTCACCCCCAGGCTTATCGTGTGGTATCTGGGTACTCTTTGAAACGTAAACCCCACAGTTTGTGAGTTAAAAGTGTCACAAGGTGCGTTCACACACAGATGGACAGACAAAAAGACTTATGTAGGTAAGACTAGCAGGAAGTACCCGGCGTTGCCCGGGCAAAAAATAGATTTCAAAACGTTTCTTAAAAACCTTATACATACACAGATACTAAGGTATTGTGAGAGCCCGGTGGGCCGCTTGTCCATTTCTCCACCAACAAATTATAAGAGGCTTGCACAAGTCAAAAAAGTTATGGAAAGTGGGGGGTAGTTAATCCAAAAGGTTTCCGAAAATTGTCGACCCCCCACCTCAAAAAATATCTTTACCCCCGCGTAGGTATATATACCTACACACCCTACATACAACAGAGTAAGTTGTATCTATTGATTCTGTAGTTGTATCTACTGACTGTACAGTAGTATCAACTGAGCCAGTAGTAGCTACTGACTGTATTGTAGTATTTACTGACTGTAGCAGTATTTACTGACTGTAGTGGTATATACTGACTGTTTGAGTATCTACTAACTCTATATAGCAGTATCTACCAACTTGATAGCAGTATCTACTATCACTACAGCAGTGCATACTGTGGTGGTTACTGCGATGATTACAGCAGTGCATACTGACTGTGGTGGTATCTGCTATAACAGCAGTGCATACCGACTGTGGTGGTACCTGCTATGATTACAGCAGTACATAATGTGGTTGTACCTGCTTTCACTACAGCAATGCATACTCACTGTGGTGGTACCTGCTATGTTTACAGTAGTGCATACCGACTGTGGAAGTACCTACTATCTCAGCAGTGCATACCGATTGTGGTGGTACCTGCTCTGATTACAGCAGTACATACTGTGGCTGTACCTGCTTTCACTACAGCAGTGCATACTGACTGTGGCGGTACCTGCTTTCACTACAGTAGTGCATACCGACTGTGGTGGTACCTGCGATCACTGCAGCAGTGCATACTGTGGTGGAAACTGCTATCACTGCAGCAGTGCATACTGACTGTGGTGGTACCTGCTTTAACTACAGCAGTGCATACCAAATTTGGTCATACAGTAAAACCTTGGATTGCGAGTAACTTGGTCTGCGAGTGTTTTGCAAGATGAGCAATTTTTTAAAATAAATATTAACTTGATAAATACGAGTAGTACGTATACGCTTTGTCTGCCGAGCGTCACGTGATCACAACTGAGCCGATGGTTCTTGTCTCGTTCTCGCTACGGGATTGTGGGTAATTGTCTCCCATGATCGGTCTCAGTTGGTGTGCCTCACTCGTATAGTCAACATCCGTGCGAGTGTATACTGTTTACTATTGTGTTGCGACCACGTGTGTGTGCGTAAAGCATTTTTTTGTGTCCAAGTGTAGTAACTGTTCTTTAGTAACTGTACTGCAAGTGAAAGTCGTCCTACACAATAACCCTCCTCTCCTCTTGTCTCCCTCACACCAGCCACGAATACATTTTATTAATAAATTTGATTACTTTATATTAAATTTAAATAATAAAAATATAAAAAAGGTATTTTGTATTAATCATTTTTATATGAATAAAGGATTTTTTGGTTGTGGAACGAATCATCTGAGGAAATTCACTTTGATATGAGTGCTTTCGATGACAACCACGTTTCTGGAACGAATTGTGCATATCGACTGTGGTGGTACCTGCTATGATTACAGCAGTGCATACTGTGGTGGTACCTGCTTTCACTAGAGCAGTGCATAGCGACTGTGGTGGTTACCTGCGATCACTGCAGCAGTGCATACTGACTGGTGGAACCTGCTATCACTGCAGCAGTGCATACTGACTATGGTGGTATCCTGATATTGCTACAGCAGTGCATATCAACTGTGGTGGTACCTACTTCAACTACAGCAGTGCATACAAAATTTGGTCGTACCTGGTACAACGACAGCAGTGCATACCGACCTTTGGTGGTACCTGCTATCACTACAGCAGTGCATACCGACTATGGTGGAATCCTGCTATAACTACAGCATTGCATACTGTGGTGGTACCTATGATTACAGCAGTGCATACTGTGGTGATACCTGCTTTCACTACAGCAATGCATACCGACTGTGGTAGTACCTGCTATCACAGCAGTGCATACCGATTGTGGTGGTACCTGCTATCACTACAATAGTACATGCTGACTATCTTCTTATATATAAAAAAGGGAAATTTGTGAATGTGTGTCTGTTCGAAATGTTTAGCATACTTGCCGATATGCAACCAACTTATATTAAACGGGAATAGGCCGATTCTAAAGAAATCTACAACCTGCGATTCCTTTGCACGATTTAAATAATCGAATCGTGGCGCACCTGGGTTTTATTTTATTTTTAATCAATGAGTTTTCTTTTCCTTTGTATAGTATGTTTAAAAGTTCAGACATTTTAAAACATTTTTCCCCCAGGGCAACGCCAGGTATTTCCCGCTAGTAGCAGTATATATCGACTCTATAGCACAAAGTACTCGCCTAACAAGAGTGCCGTGCAGAGCCCCCGGCCTCGCCTAGATTGCCCAGCCGGCCGAGGCTGGGCCGCTACCCCCCCCCCCCGCTACAATAGTCCTGTCTAAGCGCTATAAAATTAGTATCTACCGACCATATAATAGTATGGGGTGGGGGAGAGAAGAGGACGTGACACTTTGATGAATTTACCTCAGCGTTGCGTGTACATTTTTTTGTATTTTGAACGAGAATGAGAAATCCCCCCCCCCCTCCACCAATGGCGTGCGTGCGTTGCCAGGGGCAACTCCTGTCAGCGATTCGCGCATGCGCAATAGCGTGCTTTGTTCCGCGCTGGGCGGAAAAAGTAAATAATGAAATGAAGAGAAATCACACTCAAACGTGAATTTAACTACTTTAAAGTTTACGGATGGGACAACGGAATAGCCTATTCCTACCGCGGGGCTAGGGGCTAGGGGCGTGCTGCCCGGCAAATTTTTTTCTACGTAAACCCCACCGTCTGAGAGCAAAATTCCTCGAGCGTGTGTGCGCAGACGGACAGAGGGACAGACAGACAAAGAATGCCTTTTATAGGTAAGATAAACATTTAAGACATTTAATTTCATCCTAATATGCAACGTCATTGTATTTTTCCATCAACAAAATTTGAATTGTATTTTAAGTCAAGCACAGTAGAACATCTCAAAGGTAGATTTGAATAAGCTGAAATTGGGGGTCATCCGGAAAGATTCCCAAAAAGTGAAATGAAGGAGCCAATTAGAAAACTGTTTTCTAGATAATAACTGAAATGCAGACTTGCAATTTTTTAATAATAATAATTTGATACAATGTCTTAAGAATATATTACCTTGGATGTCACATGCTCCATTAATGTTCTTTTTTCACATTTATTTTACGAACACAACTAAGACTTAAAGCTCATGAGAAAATTCATTCAGACTTCCACATTTAGTGAACATCACCCTTTATTCTCTGCTTCAGTAAGAAAGTGATTAAACTGTATATAAATTAATTTATATCCAGTGAACCCAAGAAACTTGGCCCATAAGAAATACCACTGGACAATGGTGGTTCCCTTCAAGCATCTAGGTATAAAATGTTAAGTCCTTAACTTGTAAAATATGGACTATATTTGCAAAACAGATGATACAGAGGATTTGATTTTGTGTGATATCACAGAAAAAGCAACTTTTTGCTGTAAAAGGCATTTCTTAATTTTTTTGCACTAGAACCCATAAGCTATTGCTGTTTGGTTTAAATCGGTGTTTATGTTGCGCAAAAACGTTTTTTTAAGGGCTCGCTTGGAAAAGATGGATTGTCTCAATGGGCTTCTACCTGATCTTAAAGAAAATGTAATGTTTCACAGGAGCCCAGCAAGCACAAGCTGATCAGTGCGTCAATGCAATACAAATACAATGCAAGGGAGAACTATTAAATGTACGAATACCTTCTGACGTTTCTTTTGCAAGAGACATGGGTAAGAAGTAACGTGTTAAATTAAACTATTATGATGACTGAAACAGGTTTGTAAACTGACCTCATCTCAATTTCCTTGCGCTTCTGGAGCTCCTGGTTTCTCAGTTCCTCCAAGCGCCTCAACTCCTCCTGACGCCGCAACAACTCTGAAAGAAATCACGGATTTCAGGACATCACCCTTGTTAAATACCTCCGACAGCTTTCCATAAAGGCAACCCAACACTTTAAGAATTTAAATGATAATATATCCTGCATAATGCACGGGCATAATATTAATTTGAAACCCCCCGCCCACCTCCTACGCTTTTTCCATATGCTAAATTCCTCTTGATATGCAAATTATTTTGTCTAGGCGCTCTTCTTCTCACCTCCCCCCCTCCAACCCAGCTTAAATATACGCTCCAAGCTTGGTGGTGTTTCATTCTTCACCTGAGGACGGCTGCTTGCGTTGTGGCCGAAACGTCGTGAGAATTATTTTATTGTTTTATTTTTATTATTTTATTACTTCCCTTCTACGTGATTTTACCGAAAGAACCAAGAAGATACAACTTACAATAAAGAAATGTAAACTGGATGTCCGTTAATTTATATATATATCTGTTAGAACTGTAAAACGACATGAACGTGAGGTGCAAAGGTCACCTTGGCGCATGAGCATGGCCTGGTGCTCGTGAGAAGCTGCCTCCATCTCAGCATCCAGTTTCTCACGAGCCTCCCTCATGTTCTTTTCCACCTGGTCCCTCTGTTGACGCTCCATCTCATCGAGAGACTTCCACCGTGTTGAAAACTCGCACTCAAACGAGCCAGGCTGCGCAAAGCGAGGTGGCTGCTCCCGTTCCCTGCAACAACCGCACAACATCAGATACAATCCTATGAAGACAAAAGCTTCCAAATGTTGCACTTAATGTGTAACAAGCAAATAAAAACATTGTAGAGAAAACATTAACAAATACTATTATTCACTCGAATGGATTCCTGATCACCCATTGTCTACACATTCCCTGTGATAAGAGTGGTTACAGCAAATATAATTTTACATGAAAGGTTATCAATAACCCCAATTCCTAAAAATGTGTTCCAAGTAAACAAAACCCACACTAATATTGCAGAGCACACGGCAAAGGCGGAATGAAAGCCACAAGTGTCCGCAAGTAGATGTGAAACACTAAAAGTTAGGCATCGTGAGACAACTCATAAAATATCAAACATCAAATAAGTGGCGGTGATAGTGGCAATGCTCACTTCTGGTAGAGTGGGTGCTTCTGAATGGACTTCTCCGGCAACCCGTCCTCCTCGTCATACTGCTCCAGTGGTTCCACGATCACGGGCCGGGGCGAGCTGTCAAACCGTACGCAGACCTCCATTACTACGTCGATCCCACAACGGGTCCTCAAGCAAATTACATGGCACTGAGTTAGTATCCGTCAGTGTCTTGAAGTGCATTTCCTAATTTATATTAAGAATCTCAGATTTTTTCTGAAAACAGCCAATGGAAATGAACTACAGAAAATTACAGAACTGAGTACAGTATTGGCTGCATATGGAAAAATAAGTCATGTACAAGTTCACTAAACTGAAGTAATCTTCAGAGGGACACAAATGAAAACACAACAGCGTACATATATAATACTGAGGATCAAAATGATAAACGGAACATTAAAACATGAGCAGGCTGTAGTGCTTTATAAATAAACTATTAATAATGAAAAGCAACCTAAATGAGTGTGAATAATAAACATTAACTGCTGTCACATCAGAAACGGGGACAAAGAATTTGGAACAAAATTCTAAAAGTGCACAAAGAAGCATGGGGGGCATGTTTGGAATAAAACGTACAGTAAAGCCAAGGAAGGATTAGAGAACATGCTCAAGTCACCGACATCAAATTGACTTAAGAAACTTAAGTGGACTTTAGAAGGACGTTAGGTGAATTTACGACGGCCGTTGATCGTAAAAATGGCAACAAAAGAGAACACTCCTGAGTGGATGTCTACCGTGGAAACAGGAGCGCAAAAACCAACTCACGATTAAGGGCTATATGGATGATGGCTTGTCGCATCATGCACCCATGATATATAGAACTCAGAGAGTCCTTCATTTAGCAAAGTATAGTTCACAGCTTATGATGATTAAGAAACCACCAAGCTACGTATTGCCATTCTTCATAAACCTCAAAAACTGAGAAATTAAAGTCAAAGGTGGGCATACATGCAGCTTTGTGGCAACTGGCCACATGCTGCTGATAATAGTAGAAACTGGCCCATGGGTTGAGATGCCTTGAAAAATGCAAAGGTCCAAAAGGAACATAGCCGGCTAACAGACCAAAGTGTAAATTTTCGGTGACCAAACTAACCCTTACCCTTTATTACCCAGACCAAGCACAATCATAACTTTGCACACACCAACCCGGCTTAACACAAAAACATGTAGTCAACAGACCATGTAGTCAATCGTATAGTTATGAACGAGTCACATAGCAGCAATAGCAAAATCCAATGGGAAATAATGGAATGCATTTATCCCTGAAACTTTTTGATTCGACTACAATTTGACCGCACACATTGAATTTGAAGTCCAAGGCACTCACGCAGTCAGCAGGAAGGCGCCGTCCGTGCAACGGTCCAGTGCTTTTCGTGCCGCAGGCTTGGTAGCGAACTCGACGATACCACGGCCGGTGGAGCGGCCACGCTCGTCCGCCACCACGACGGCGCGCTCCACCATGCCGAATAGGCTGAAGGCCTCCTCCAGCAGCTCATTGGAAACCATAGGCGAGAGGTTCCGTACCGACAGGGCGGCCCCGTGCGTGGCGAAACGCACACGCAGAGGCCGGTTACGCATCATGATGCCGTCCAGCTCTGCCTTGGCCAACTCGGCAATGGTGCGCGTCTCCTGTGGGCGGGAGTCACAAGTTTCAAGTTTATTTTGTTTAAAAATATTTACTAAAAACTATTCTTGAAAATTGTTATTACAGGTTAATGTAGCCAAGCATAAATGCACAACCCAGATCCACCCATTTCTATTTTATTTTACCAGGTAAGGCCCATTGAGCTGTACAGCTCGTTCAGAAGCGACCTGGCTGCACATGATGGCTCAACAAAGTGGCTTATCATGAGGACATTTATTGCAGCCAAATACTTTAAACACATTTATAAATTTGGAGAGAAAAACCCAGAGAAAGATCAATGCAACCAGAAGGAAAACATGCAAACTCCAAATATACAGACCGCATCAGGGTCTGGATTGAACCCACAACCTCCTGTATTACCAGGCGAGGTATTTAACATTTCTCCAACGAACTCAAAGATACCTGAATAGTCTCCATTGCATGAGTGACCTGGGTCACCAAAATTACAAAAACATAAACATAAAAGAAGGTACCTGTACAACAATGCAGTGAACAGAAATCAGCAAACCTAAATCAAGAATAAAGTACATACATTTTCTGTCATGAAAATTAGCTCGGATTTTACGTTTAAAAACTGATTAGCACGATTGGCTACGCACGATGCGAAGGAAGTTCAACATACATACCAGGGTGATCACTGTACTCGTATGTAAAGAGATGTCAAATATTGTACAATTGCTCGTGAAGTCATCGTGCAGATCGACAGCTTGAGAAATTGTGGATTTGGAAACGGTTCTGTAAAGGCCTTATAGACGAACCGTGGCAATCTAACTTGACTCAGCGACCATGTTCAATTAACTTGACTGTTATATTGCGGAATTACAAAAGGTGATCCGAAACATGAAACAAGCGATCTTTTGTCCAACTTGATAATAATCCAAGTATTATTAAAATCAATCAAATGTATCACTGTAAAAATAAGCCCAAAGTGCAATTTAAGTTCCTCTGTCGAGAATTAGGTTATCGAAAATACCATTTGCAAACCAACTACCACAGAAAACCCACACATACGGTGGGATAACAAAGTACCGAGGGCGTTACCGTTGTGTAATCGTGATCATATTGCAATGAAGAGGTCCAGTTTAAATCCCCTTCCCGAGTGTGGCAATTGTAACAAATGTGCGAATGACTTATATTCGCCCCCTACACCTCTCTGTACACTCAGCAGTATAAATGTGTACGCAAGTCGACCGTCGGGTGTGATGTGGTAAAGTGTGGGTAAGCCAACATATCCCCCAGACGTCCAGGCAGCGTCGAAGAGGAGACTAAATGCCGAATACAGCTGTGCTTCTCAACATTAAATTTAACAGCAATTTTCAAACTTGCTCAATCTTCATATTGTGTGCCCAACTACGCATGCGCGACCGAGGGAGTTGAGAGCCGGAGGTGGGGACTGATGGCTGTCTACTGGATTTTTTTTTCCCATCCCGTAAATTGTAAAATGCATTTACGAAACGTTAAGTTTTAAGCAGATATAAGATACACGTAATAGATTCCATAAAATTGTGCTTAAAATAACGTGAGTGGATATCATCGTGTACCACATACAGTACATCAGGGTTAAACCCAGGGTTTCTTAAGTGTAGGGAGTTGGTATGTCTGCGCGCACATTTTTTTTTAACAAAAATGTGGTTTTGCAAATTTCTGCTGAGAAATAAAATAAATCGAAGCGACTCCAACACCTCACGGTGGTTCTTGAGCGTGTGGACCTCGGGAGCCACACTTACTACGTGACCAGAAAGCACATAGCCTATTAGACTAAGATCCCCCCCCCCCCATATAGTTTTGACAGACTCTTGGGGAAAGCGTTGTTAGTGAGAACCTATGAAGGCCGGTACGGTAAACGAGAGGGTGAGTGACCAGCACTATGCCCGGCCGCCTTTGTCTCCCCAGTTATAATGATATATCGCACCAGGTACTCGTTTGAGGCTAAAGACCCATTCAAATATTCGTCAGTTAATGGTTGGGGGCCGTCTATAAATGGCGTCACGCGATTGTCAATTTTTGACCACCCCCCTCATCACACGACGTCACAAAAAGTCAGACCCCCCTCATCCTCAAATATGACGTCACAAAGCTCTGCCCCCCCCCCAAAAAAAACATGCTTCAAATCGCTTTAAACTATTGTCATTGTAGTGCGTATTAAATGTGTGGCGCTACACTCTTGATGTTGTAGGAGAAACATGTATTAAAAAGTATATTTAATCAAGTAGAACGTGTTGTCTATCTATATATATAAAATCGCAAATCTGTCTGTCTGTTTGTCTGTCTGTTTGTGTGTGTGTGTGTCGCCGGACCATACGCAGTTTCATTGGACGAAATGTGAGGGATTTGCGAGACGCGATTGGTCCGTTTGGTTTTCCACGGCGGTTGCCCCTGGCAACGGGTAGCGACGCATTCGCTGCGGGGTGGACGCCATTTTGAATTCCCGTTAAAAATATGCGCACGCATTAACACGCGACTGAGGTAAATTCATCAAAGTTTCACGTCCTCTTCACTCCCCCCCCCACCACAATGTGTGCAATTACTATTATAGGCTCGGTAGATAATAAAATTATAGCGATTAGACAGTATTATTGTAGCGCGGGGGGGGGGGGTAGCGGCCCCAGTACCCACCCTCAGCCGGGTGGCCAATTTAGGCGAGGCCGGAGGCTCTGCACGGGACTAGGCCTCACCACGCCACTCTGACAGGTGAGTACTTTGTGCTATACAGTCCATAAATACTGCTATAGAGTCACCATGTACTGCTGTAATCATAGCAGGTACCACCACAGTATGCACTGCTGCAGTGAAAGCAGGTACCACCACAGTCAGTACGCACTGCAGTTACATTATTAACAGTAGTTTTTAAATATTTTTAAAACCCAGCCTCAGCCGGGTGGGCAATTTAGGCGAGGCCGGAGGCTCTGCACGGTACTCGGCCTCGACACCCCACCACACTATAGGCCGTACATATTACTGCACAGCGGCCGAGGAGATCGTGGCTGGGGGAGGGGGGGGGGTAGCAGCCCATCTGTGTATATATGTAAGGTTATTAAGAAATATATTTTTCACCCGGGCAACGCCGGGTACTTATGCTAGTCTATATATATAAAATCGCAAATCTGTCTGTCTGTGTGTCGCCGGACCATACGCAGTTTCATTGGACGGCGGTTGCCCTTGGCAACGGGTAGCGACGCATTCGCTGCGGGGTGGACGCCATTTTTAATTCCCGTTAAAAATATGCGCACGCATTAACACGCGACTCTGAGGTAAATTAATCAAAAGTTTCACATCCTCTTCACTCCCCCCCCCCCACCCCAATGTGTGCAATTACTATTATAGGGTCGGTAGATAATAAAATTATAGCGATTAGACAGTATTATTGTAGCGCGGGGGGGGGGAACGGCACCCGTACCCAGCCTCAGCCGGGTGGGCAATTTAGGCGAGGCCGGAGGCTCTGCACGGTACTAGGCCTCGACACCCCACCACACTATAGGCCGTACATTTTACTGCACAGCGGCCGAGGAGATCGTGGCTGGGAGGGGCAGGGGTAGCAGCCCATCTGTGTATATATGTAAGGTTATTAAGAAATATATTTTTCACCCGGGCAACGCCGGGTACTTATGCTAGTATTTATTTAAAGTTGCGCATTTTGATGTGACGTCACATTTCTCAAACTCCCCCCGTCACACATCGTCCACAAATGTCTGACTCCCCCCCCCCCCCTAGGTGCGTGACGTCATTTATGGACGGCTCCTTGCGAGTGGGAACCGAACTCGGGTCGCAGGGTCTGCAGCGCTCTGCACTAAACACATGATTACCGCTCCCCACACGCCTATATTTTCATCTTTAAAAATATGTTAATGTTTTATATTAATTATCTTATAATATATTGTGGTTCCAGAGCCACAACCAAAGCAAATATTGGTTTATGACGGAACAATATATCGTAAAATCTATTTTTGGGCCCACTGAATCAGCGGGTTTTGCGAATGGATTCGTCTCATGACGTCGCCAATAGCACAATCGTAGTACATTTGGAGGAATGTTTCAAATTAGTTTAAAAAGCAACATTTAAACGTGTCCATATTTTCTACAACCGAGTTTTAAGGAGGTAGTGCCGTTTTTTGAAAAGCTATGCAACAAAATTACACCATTGCACCGCATGGCACAGGCGTCAAATCAAAACATTTCTATTGATTTAGCCGAGAGTAAGGTCAACGTAAACCTCTTTAAACATTTACAAAAGCTTCTCCTAGTCGCCGCAGGGGTGGGCAAACAGGGATGGAGGCGGGCAGGTGTTATCGAGTGCCCCACCCCCGGTCTATTTGTTTGCTCCGTGGCGTTGCCATTTTACATACAGAGACGAAAACCGCCCCCTATAACCTTAACAGACTGTAGGGACAAGCGCTGTTAGCAAGCACCTATGAAGGCCGACACGGCACACGAGGGGGTGGGTGGCCAACATAAAGCCCGGCCGCCTTTGTCTCCCTAGTGGCGATATTTTCACACCGCACCAGGTATTCATTTGAGGCGGAGTCGACCTAGGGGAGGCCCAGGACCGGTTCAGATAATCGTCACTGGTGTTGGTCGTGAGCGGGAATTGAACCCGGGTCGCTAGGTTCGTAGCGCAACGCGCTAACCGCAACAATACCGCTCAACAGAGGTAGCGTCATTTTTTCCTTGAGTATGTCCCCTCATTTTGATACGTGCCTTGATTGTATATGTAAGACGATCTTCGTTTAATTTATACTGTAAAGAATTGTGATGCCCTCTATAGTGGGGGAGAGTTTTTCCAATTTGCTTTTACTGAATGTAAATGTACGTGGCCAGCCCATAAATGCACACGATGACAATGCGCCTCCAGTGGTTTCTGGCGGCAACCCCTCCCCCCTTGATTGGTCGAATTCGAATTTCCTCGCTGCACCCTCGACCCGTTCATTGGTCTGTGTGGACGCAACATAGCGTCATTCCTTGACCTCGCTAAACTTCTACCCCATTATATGCCACAAGCAACATTTGACAATTTTACTTCAGAGGATTTATTTTTACGACCGATGGGTTTATGTTACTCAAATAGTTACTAATATGTAACTGTACAAAAGCCTTTTAAATAGTTTACCAGCAAACATGTTTTTTTATTTAATCGCATAAGGAACCATCGGTGTAAAGTCAACTCTTATCCACTCAAACTCACTGGCATATGTGAAATTAACGGTCATTGACAAAAACGTCGTATATTCTACACTTTTCCTTTTGGGGCCGTGTTATTGACGAATGTGTCCAGTATTGTTGTACGTTTGCACCACTGCAACGCACATCAATAGAACCAAAAAAATCGGAGATTGTTGAGGGCTGCCCGTTTGTCATCAGTGTGCTTTAGGGCAAGCGATGCGCGTCTCGTAAGGGGAGTGGGTGTTGACGAGATGTGTCTGATGCGTGTTATGTTGAGACAAGCACTAAGTGTTGCTAGTATGTTAAACGGCACACAATGAAACTCTTTGGAGGGTATCCCCACACCCCCCTGCTGGTTATGGGGGGTTATTTTCCTAATATCAAACCACGCTAGTCACTCAGGGTTGGAGCATATACGGGGAAGATACTGAACTTAAAAAAGACAAACAAATCAAAACCCAGCTCACACTCTCAATATCATATCCCTCAATCACAGCTCTCTCAATAGCATATCTCAATCGCATCTCCAATCTCAATCGAATCTCCCTCTGAATCGCATCTCCCATCTCAATAGAATCCCCCTTTCAATAGAATCTCTCATCTCAATCGAATCTCCCTCTCAATCACATCTCCCTCTCAATCACATCTCCCTCTCAATCACATCTCCCTCTCAATCACATCTCCCTCTCAATCACATCTCCCTCTCAATCACATCTCCCTCTCTTAAACACATCTCCCATCTCAATCGAATTTCCCTACTTAATCGAATCTCCCCACTCAATTGCATCTCCCTCTCAATCGATTTTTCCATCTCAATCGCATGTCTTCATCCCATCTCCTCAATCGAATTTCCCATCTCAATCCCATCTCCTTTTCAATAGAATTTCCCATCTCAATCGCATCTCCCATCGATGTCATCTACCTTTCTAACCCCATCAGGTCGGCGATTCTGCCCATCGTCGTCTGTCATGGCGCCTCCGCAGCGCCCACCGCACACAAAGGGGAGCGAGGGGAGCTCCCCCTCCTCCTCCTCCTCCATAGGGGGCAGATAGCGGCCACCCAGGAGGGAGATGATGGCAGAGCCAGGGAGATGCAAAAGAGAAAAGAGGCAGGGACAGGGCGAGCTGCTGCTGCGGCAGAGCGAGGCGCTCACCAGGCGGATGAAGCCGAAGCCTTTGTCGGAGTTGAGGAATATTTCGGACGGCTCGCCGTACTTGGCGAACATCTTGCGGAACCCCTCCTCGCTCAGGTCGCTGGGGACATTGCCCACGAAGAGGCGGCATCGCTGTGTGTAGGTCTTCTCGCCCGGCTTCCTGAACGTCTTGAGGTCGAGCGCCAGCTGCCTCTGCTGCTCCTCCTTGGTCGCCGCCTCCTCTGCGGCCTTCGCCTGTTGCTTCTGCTGAAGCTGCTGCTGCAAACTCTGTTGTCCTTGCTGCTGCTGCTGAATCTGCGGCTTCTGCTGCTGCTGTATCTGCGGCTTCTGCTGCTGCTGAATCTGCGGCTTCTGCTGCTGTTGTATCTGCGGCTTCTGTTGCTGCTGAATCTGCTGAATCTGCGGCTTCTGCTGCTGTTGTATCTGCTGCGGCTTCTGCTGCTGTTGTTGTATCTGCTGCGGCTTCTGCTGTTGTATCTGCGGGGTCAAAGGCGGCTTCTGCTGCTGTTGGGGCAACTGAGGCTGCGGCTTCTGCTGTTGCTGCTGGGTGAGGGGCTTCTGCTGCTGCTGCGGTGAAGCGACTGGCGGCTTCTGCTGCTGCTGCGGTGAAGCGACCGGCGGCTTCTGCTGCTGCTGCTGCTGCGGTGCAGCCACCGGCGGCTTCTGCTGCTGTGCAGCCACCGGAGGCTTCTGCTGCTGCTGCTGCGGTAAAGCCACCGGCGGCTTCTGCTGTTGCGGTGCAGCTACCGGTGGCTTCTGCTGCTGTACAGCTACCGGTGGCTTCTGCTGCTGGGGCGGCTTGTTGTTGCTGTTGTTGATGACGATGTTGGGCCCAGGCTTCTCCACCCTCGGCGCCGTCTTGATGCCCAGAGGAGCCGCCATGACGGGAGTCGGCGGTTTCTGCGGCGGGATCTGAACCGGCTTCTGCGGCGGGACCTGAACCGGCTTTTGCTGCGTTACCTGAGGCGGCTTCTGCTGCTGCTGTACTTGCTGCTGCTGTTGCAGTAGTTGTTGATGTATCTGCTGCTGTTGTTGATGCTGCTGGAATGGCGGCCTATTGTCGCGATTTCCGTAGAAACTCTGGCGCACGTTGAGATTAGCGCCTCCGCGCCTGTTGTTATTGTTGTTATTATAAGGGGTACCGCCGCCCCTGAACCTGTTGGGGTACATGACGATAACTGTGGTGGCTCAAGATGATGGCTGAACTGCGTTCGAGGCGAGGGAGCGGTACTGGAGCGAGGATGGACGCGGATTGCTGCGGCACGACCCAGGAACGAGAAGATGGCGATCTCCGCCTCGCCGCAAAATGGCCACGGAGCCCCGTTTGACGCCCCTCGTCCAATCGGCGCTCGCGCCGGCGAAGGCGTGACCCTAGCGAGCGGTGATTGGCCCGTGGGGGCTGATTGACGTCGCGTGCCTCGCCTATTGGTCCATCGCGACATTCCGAGGTCCTGAATGAGGCTGTTGGGATGACTGGAGATGAGGAGGGTATCCGATGAGCTATAAAGCTCTTGTGCACAGACGTCCAGTGAGGGATGTGTCACAACGTTAACAACAACAAACGATACAAACATGCCGCACCCATATGACCCCTCAAGGTCCCTAAGATGTGGGGATGCAGATCTTGGGTGACCGAGATTTTTCTCGTGTAGTCCCCAGACTACGGAACGCTCTTCCACGAAATATCAGGGATCTCAGTGTGTGGACATTTTAAAAATTCGCCTTAAAATCTGTACGTTTCCGCTTACAACACTTTTAGCTAATTTCGTAATTTTTTAAAATGTTATAATATTTGTATGGTGAGTGTCTGCTGTTGCTGTGTCCTGTACAGCGCTTATTATCTCTACGTGGCTTTACCGAAAGACCCAAAGAATAGGTGATGTCCTCCACATGGACCCGTCCCTCATTAATAATCATGGATGCAATGAATATCACATCGCAGTCTGCTTTTCGCTTGCAAGCCTCAGATTTACAGAAATACACCCGTCCTTGGATGGGCAAAAAGACTATATTTCCCGAGTTGGGGCCATTGAGCTCGATTGCAGAAACTTAATGCATTACACAATTACAAATTAAGAAATAGAAATTACGTTTTAAAATCACAAATCACACTTTCGTGATTTTAATAAGTCAGTTTTAATGTGGACAGAGATGGCGGAGCGGAGATGTGAAGAGACACGGGTGGTTGAATGCATTTGATGCTAATTATGTGCGAATTCTGGGAACTAAAAAGAGGAAATCAGACGTGCGTCGCAGATTTTTAGGATTGTCCTACACTGTAAAAAAATATTCCGTAAATATACAGTAACTTTTCTGGCAGAAAGTTGCCATTGAATTTTACCGTAATTATACGGAAGATTAAATCCCATTTTTTACAGAAATATGAACAAAAATTTACAGTAATTACTGTATTTTCACATAATACCATTCGTGTTTTTTTACAGTAATTTATCCGTATTCAGTAAAAAAACTATATTACCCAGGACTGTAAAAAAATGTTTTCTGGCAAAAAGTTGCCAGTAACATTTTCTGTAATTTTACCGATTTTTTTTGCGAATTGTGTTATCTTACTGTAAACTTCTATATTTTTAAAGACACTCCATATTAAAAAATGTCTATTATAAACAAGAAAATAAAACCCAAATTAGATTTAGTTTAAATGGAATATGTTTGACCCTAAACAGTACACGGGCAGTTTGCCTGCTGCTCCCCACCATTACCTCTTCCTGGAAAGAAACTAAACAAAGAAAAAACTGCTTTTGTGGCGTGAAAGACTTTATTGTCTTTTTTAAATATGTAAATCTACATACATTGGCTTATGAAAATAGTCAGTACATGCATTTGAACATGTTTTTAAAATATGTAATTGCGAATGTATTTTACCCTATTTTATAAAACGATCTTTAAAAATATACAATAAAAAAGCGTCTGCATTAGCCTTTAACAGATACACTTTGTATAGTAAGGAAGTGTACAATCATCTGGAACAAACATGAGAAGAAAAAAAAGCAAGTAACTTCCAAGAGTTTTTACAGCTTCCAAGCTGCAGTACCAGCACCAGTATCAAACACTTCAGCAAGTACTGAAAGAAACTGGTTTAATTCTTGATATTTATTCTTGATATAATCACTTCAAAAGTTTGAATAGTTTACGTGTATCTGTTTTTGCTTTCAGCAACTTGCTTTTAACACTTTTCAAATAAAAAGAAAGGAGTCCCAACTCAAAAGGAATGAGATAGTGTTTCCTTTGCATTAGTGGTTAAAAGTGTATCAGTGTATGTATACATTGTGTCTGTAATACAGTATGTGTATGTTTGTTTGTGTACAATATGGTTGCCATACCATGTCAGATCTTCAGTTTCATTTTATTTTTAACAAAATGAAGATCTGACATGGTATGGCAGCCATATTGTAAACAAACATACACCTACGGTATGATAGACACAATGTAAACTGGAAACAAGTATAACCCGTAAAAACAAAGTTTTTCACTATAAATCCTTTATATGCGTGGCGGCTAGAGTCCTCTCGTCCTCTGGCTTGAGATGGCTGCCACCTATGGGTCAGATGATTGCATGGCAGCATTAAGCAACTGGTAATTCAATATATTTTTGTCCTAAAAAGTGTAAAATTTTGGAAAAAAAATTTCACGAACATTAATTGTTACGCACAACGAGCCTGTGTGGAAAATGTCAGCTCGATTGGATCACGGGAAGTGGGTTAAAAAACGACCGAAAGATTTGCACGGTCCTAAGCAAGCAGGCAAGTGAACTTAATATAAAGGATAAAAAAAAGAATGAAAATTAATGAAAAAAATCTTAAGTGCTGTCTGCAAAAGTGTTTTCAGAGACTTCAGGGGTTTCATGGGGTTTCAACGTCTCTCAGATCCGAAAGGAGTATCAGGATTCGGGGGTGTGTGTTGTGGCTTTTCTTTCCACGTGTCTGCTCCTTTTTTGATCCTCGTTCTGGATTAATTCCAACAAGGCATCTAAAATATAAAAGGATAAATGTTAGGAAGGATAAACAAAAAAAGCAAAAACAGAAGCAAGCTGATCTTCTGGTCAGTATTGAACCAAATAAACTAAGAACCAATCAACAACTTAATTAATAATGTTGGAACCTACTGCATATGTAAATGAGCATCTGTCTCGTCATTCAATACTTCATAGTTATCAGTATATCATATGTTATCAAAAATACAAAACATCAAGTATTTAATTAGCCCTCTAAAACATCTAATTACAAACTCTTTGGTTCTTTCGGTCAAGTTACGTAGGTAGAAGAATTAAACAAAAATTATTATTATTTTATTTTTCTACCTACGTTACTTTACCGAAAGAACTAAAGAGTATGGATTCCTACAGTCACGAAAACTTCAAATCAAGATCTAATTGCATGTGGAATAAGTTTGCAGGTACTCGCTATTACTTTATTTCTGAACATTATAAAATAATTCTCACGACGTTTCGGCCACACCGCAAGCAGCCGTCTTCAGGTGGAAAACAGGTCTGTCGAGAAGGTAGAGTCTGAATGGCATGCTCCAGGCTTGGAGCGACTATTTATGCTGGGGTGGAGGGGTGAAGAGCGTCTTGACAAAATAATTTGCATATCAAGAGGAATTTAGCATATTTATGGAAATGCAGATATGTGATTAGTACTACTTGTGAAATGCGTAAGAGGTTTGGCGAGGGGTTTAAAGTCATTATGCCCATGCATTATGCAGGATTAGCAGTATCAAAGGGAGGGAGTAAGGTTAGAATTAATAAAGGGAAGGAATGTTAATAATATGGCGCCGCAGCAACTAATATGCTTATAGACTATACATTGTAATATTACACTATGTATTATTCTACCCACCCAACTGTATACCACACTGCTATATATTCACTATAAAATTAAGATACTATATATTACCTTATACATTGTATTAAACATTACAGATATGTGATTAGTGGCCAGATGACAAAAGTGACAAAAGTGTCATCTACGTACCTAGACCAATTCCTTGACCACATCAATTCCATACACCCAGTCATCAGATTCACCATGGAAGTAGAAAAAGATGGCAAGCTACCCTTTTTGGATGTCCTAATTAAAAGGAGACCTGATGGTTCAATGAGCCACTCTGTCTACAGGAAAGCCACCCATACGGATGCTTACCTAAAACCGGATTCCCACCACCATCCATCCCAGAAGAATTCCCTCATCAAGACTCTATAACATAGAGCCCAATGCATCTCCGACCAGGAACACATTGCCAGTGAACTCAAACACGTATGCCAAGCTCTTAAGGCTAATGGTTACTCCGATTACACAATCCGCAAAGCCATCCCTCCAACCATCAAGAAGGATCCTGTTGAGGAGCCTTTCAAAACCATCACCTTACCCTACATTGCTGGGGTCACAAAAAATATCTCCAAAATCCTGGTAAAACACAAGATCCAGGTCCGATTCAACACAGTACATAAAATCCGTGATCTGGTCCCGTCTGTAAAAGACATAGTTCCAGACATACAGTACCCTGGCGTTTACAAACTAAGTTGCCTCTGTGGTAGCAGTTACATTGGAGAAACCAAACGACATGTCTCGGACCGCATCCGCACGGTAGGACAAACACCTCAGCCGTGGCAGATCACTGTTACAATTCAGTGGGCTCACATGATATTGACTTCTCCAAGACAGAGGTTCTCTGCAAGCTATCCGGCTACCATGAGAGATTCGTCCATGAGGCGATACACATATACAAACACAGAGACAATTTCAACCGAGAAGATGGATTCTGGCTCAGCAATCATTGGAAGGACGTAATAAATCATTTCGGATCTTAACTGATTGTGTTCACGTTTACAGTGACTTTCAGACCGCAGTCCATTCACTGACATTGACTGTATATCTTGTATTCTCCGCAGGGAATGGATTCTTTGCTCCACTGCAAGCTTCCTATCACCACTCTCCCATTGACATATTTCGTTGCTTCCTCTTGTACCTTTCACGCGACGGTCAATGATATAGTGTATAGCATATTGTACAATAATAAATAGTATTAAAATGTAATGGTTAATACAATGTATAAGGTAATATATAGTAGCGTAATTGTATAGTGAAAATACAGTTTAGTAGGTAGAATAATACATAGTGTAATATTACAATGTATAGTTACTGCGGCGCCATATTATTAACATTAATTCTAGATTTGAAGCTTTCGTGACTGCAATGATTCATATTCTTAGGTTTTTTCGGTAAAGTCACGTAGGTAAAACATCAAAATTAATAAAAAATAAAATAAAATAAAGATCACGACGTTTCGGAGGCAACACAAGTCTCCGTCA